TTGATCTAGAACAGGAATTTCAAAATTAAAAATCAAACATCAGAGAGGTAACTGTATATTCAAACAAAATTACTAGCTAATAATGAGATCACAGAAGATTCAGTAGTAGTAGAAAATAGTAAATGCGACGTCAGTCATCCTAATTCTTCGTTTCAGATAAAAGATTATATTGTAATAGATTCCACAGAAGAATGTAAAACACAGATTATACTGCACACGGCGCTTACATTGTTTTTAAATGATGACAAATAAGATGATTCAGTAGGTACTGCTACTCAGTTATCGGTGAATCATTTAACATAAGGAAGTATAATGCCCACGCATCAATAAAAATAACCTAAAGTACAATCTGTTTATTTGTGTCCCCAAAATTTTATTATTGTGTGTATTGGAAATAAAATCATGTTGTGGTTATACTAACGTCTATTTCTATTTACCAGGAAATTGATCAAAGATTTGATTGAAATTTCAAAATCCATCAGACGCTTACTGACTCTGCAAGCGTGGGACATCGAGCGTCAAGTCATCAACACTGACAACCGACATTCGATTAACTCCGCGTAATTACGGGAATCTATTCCGAGCCTATGATGGCACTTTTTGTTCTAATATCCTCAAAATTGATTGCTTCCGTGCGTTGAAATAACTGACAGACTGACGTCATTGTAACTGTTCAAGAATTAACCCACTAATGAATGAAACGAAAACTGTTGATGATAAAATTGTAAATGTACACGTAACTGTGGTATGAGTCAATAAACGGTCTCAATGTTCAATACAGTCTATATACTAAAAACAATCATAGTAGGTAATTGAACCGCTGCCCGACTTCTAAAATTGCTCAAGATTGGGAAACTGTTTTGCTCCAAAACAAATTTTCATCAAAGCCTTGTCGAATTCTACCCAAGCAAAAAGTATCGCAATCGTTTAAGTAAAAACATCGTTTATTGTTCGTCCAAAATATTTGATTTTGTACCTGGATTTATACCTAGACACCGACAAAAAATGAACAACGTGTTTTTGTTTTCTATCGAGGGAATCTAATCTAGCGATTTTGCGGAAAAAATGTCCAAACTTGTAAGTACTGTAAAGTTATGAATAATTTTTGTAGACACTTGGAATAAAAGTGTACTAGTCTATCTAATCGTTTTTTTTTTTTTTTTTTTTTTTTGATCCTTTTTCGACTTTTTTTTATCTCTTTATTTTTAAAATTTTAGGGGGTTTTTGTCCATATGGATACGTCAACCCCATCGTACCTTATCTAATTAAATATACTCTGTAAATGAAAGGGAATCATTAACAAGGTATGAGATAAATAAAAGAAAAGCTATGTCACTCTCACCAATTCACATAATCCCTTTGCGATCTTCGTTTTTGGATTTGCTAAAATGTTTTGAACTAGCCCAACATCTAATTTATTCAACTCATATTTTCTGATTAATGATTCCCTTTCACTATTGTTCCTGGCACATTCCATTAGCAAATGTTGTATGTCCTCTACTTTGTTGCATAATTCGCAATTAGGTGATGCAACCTTCCCCATAAGAAAAGCAAACTTCGCCGATGGATAGTGCCCAGAACGCAGCCTTAATGCTAACTTAACATAATTTCGACCCAAACCTGCATCCTCAAACCAAGGCACCCGGGGAAGCTCATTCTGAATTGTCTTGTACCAAATTCCTTTTACATTTGATTTTTCATTAAAATAGTTCAACCATTTGTCATAACAAGACTGCTGGAATTTGGAACAATATTCCCAATAATCCGGAGTATACGGCGTTTCATTTTCCATCTCAATAGCAAGTTTTGACAAGTGGTCAGCCTCTTCGTTCCCTCGTAAGCCTATATGTGCTGGAACCCATTGCAATATCAGTCTACCTTCTTCATTATTAAAATGACAAAGCTGTTGGAGGATGTCATAGGCTACCGATGCACCTCTGCAACCAGAGACGCATCGAGCCAAATGTTGTATCGCGCTCCTGCTATCAGTGAATATAACTATTTTATCAAACTTTTCACTAATTGCATATACTATTGCTTGATATATTGCAATGAGTTCCAGAGACATTATACAAACTGTGTTACTTATTTTAAAAATAGCTTTATGCCCTGTATTTTGGCAGAAATATGCCGCTCCACAACCATTTAGGCTCTTTGAACCGTCTGTGAAAATTTTACACCAGTCACTGTATTTAGAATCCAACTCTGATACGACTTCATGAACCAACGCATAAGGATTATAATGTTTTTTTGAGCGTTTGATGCATTCTAAATCGGTTTTAAACATTTTTTTAATTTGAATAGCAGATACCCAAATGTCTAGTGTGAACATTTTGAGAATATCCGATGAATTAATTAATAGATGACCCATTTCATTAAAGGTACTAGCGAGCAATGGTTTCCTTTTATTTGTCCAATAATTATTTTGACTCAGCGAAGCAATTTCAGAAATTGTGTTCAAACAACTACTATTAGACCATGAGAGTGATTTTAGGATGTACTTATTTGCAAGATATTGTCGCCTTACAAATAGTGGTGGTATGTGTAACTCACTTTCCATCACGTGGATGGGCGTACTTTTTATAAAACCTCCTATTATCCTTAGTGCTTGGTTTTGAAGCTTGTCTAATTTGGATATATGCGTCTTTGCACTGGAATCGTATAAGTAACAGGCGTAATCCATGCGACTTCTAATTAACGAGATGTATAACCTACGTATGTGTTTAGTGTGAACTCCCCAAGTAGACCCCGCTAGTACTTTTAATAGGTTCAAAAATGTTGTACATTTACTGACTATTTCATTTATATGTTTGCGCCAGTGTAAGCTTCTGTCCAACCATACACCCAGGTACCTGACACATTCCACCGACAATAACGGTTGTTCATGCACTTTTAATACAGGTATTGTTCTTCTTCGACCTCTACTAAACACACAAAAATGAGATTTGGTTGGTGACAATGTCAATCCAATCTCACCCAGTAAAGTTATTAAATAGTTCAGTGCCTCTTGTAGATAACGTTCAGATATTTTAATTTGTTTCTCACTTATAAATATTACGAAATCATCTGCGTATTGGGATATCATAACATTTTGAATTTTGCAACAAATATGATATGTTGCTAGATTAAATAATAAAGGGGATAGAGGATCCCCTTGTGCCAATCCCCTATTAGTCCATCTTCCACTAAGCCCTTCACTATTGAAGGACTTAATTTTTAAGTGTCTTTCACTCAAGAAAGACCAAAGATATGAACATATTCTAGAACCAACCTGAACATCGTCCAATACTTCAGTTATCGATTCGATTGACACATTATTATACGCGTTTTCGATATCTACAAAACATGCCACTGTAGAAACATTTTTTGTGAAACCAATTTGAATATGAGAAACTAGACGGGATAGTGAATCCAAACAAGATTGTGATTTTCTGAATCCTACTGTATTTTGGGATAAAAACCGATTTTTTTCTACGTACCATTCTAACCGTTTGTAGATCATTAGGTGAAATATTTTACATATGCAAGAAATAAGTGAAATAGGTCTTAATTTAGTCTCATTATTATTATTAATTGCGGCTTTGGGTATTGGAATAATTTGTATTTCGCGCCACTGATCGGGGACAGTACCATATTTAAAAATTAAATTATATATTTCTAGTAATTTATGCTTTCCAGACTCTGGTAAGTTGTATAACATCGAGTAGGATATACCATCTTCCCCCGGGGCCGAATCCTTCTTTTTAAGGCAGTTTTCGAGTTCTTGGATATTAAAATCAGCTTCCAAAAAAACATTTATAGATTTAAATTTCGGTTTTTGATTAGGAGCATAGTCTGGAGTAAGTGAGTGTAATAACGCAGATTGTTTTTCAATGGGAGAACATGTTCCTTTCTGTTTGAAACCCTTCATCCACCTCATTCGTCGCCACATCTCAGATACGTTCGTAACTTCGTTAATAGAATCACAGAAATTGTGCCAACTACTGTATTTAGCTTTCTTAATTAAAGTTTGTGATTCAAGGGTTTTAGATTCTAATTTGTTTAAATTTTCCGGGGTGGGATTTTTACGAAAACGTGATAAGGCTAACCTTCGTTGTGCGACTATTTCTGATAATTTAGGATTCCAGTAATTTTTCGGTTTAAACTTTTCCTCTGTTTCTAAACTAAATTTATAATATGGAATATGTTTATTACCTGCGTGTTCAATAGTATTAATAAAAAGGTTGTACATTTGCTGCACATCGTTATTTGATTCGAAAGTAGAATTAATTTTATCTGAGATTGTTTGACGGTATTTACTCCAATCCGCATTTTTCCAGTTTCGTTTCCTAACAATATGTACCAAGCTAGATAAGTTTGCTGACATCTTAATGATCATGTGGTCACTGCCGAGATTTTCGTTAAATACCTGCCAATCGAATTTTATTGCTATGTCAGAGGAAATAAACGATATATCGGGAGACGTTTGCTGCAAGTTTCCATTCACTAACTTAATGCGTGTTGCCAAGCCGTTATTAAGAGAAATAAAATCATTTTCTAGGGATGAGTCCAATATTTGATTGCCTCTCGTGTCGGATTTAGTCGACCAGTTAGTATGATGGCCATTAAAGTCCCCAGCTATTAATGTTTTACAAGTAAAGTGAGAAAAAATATCATTCCAATCCGAAATCTGAGTGTGTATAGATGAAGGACAGTAAATCGACACAACATATTCTAAGTCTATGCAGTTTAATAACTTAACACATATTAACTCAATACCCGCATTATTAATATTAAACGACACCAGGTGAGATTGAATTGATCTATGAATCAACAAAGCTACACCACCATAACTATCATATCTATCGTTTCTATATACATTGTAATCGCTTATGTTTACATTGACGTCGGGATCGAACCATGACTCACTTATAATTGCGATATGAATGTTTTGTTGTATAAGTAAATTAGAAAAGGATACAAGTTTAGGCCGCAAACTTTGTGAATTCCATTGGAATATATTCACTTTTTTAACTTTTTGTAAACTATTCATTATTAAAACATTGTATATATCCTAAAATATCTTCTCCAAATAGTATGTTGATCAAAAAATTCTTTAATTCTTCCCCAATAAGTTTTAACAATGACATTGCTTTTTCTTCTAGTTTTAGTTTAGATTTGCAGATATTCTTTATTTTCGTCCAAATTTTTGTCCATTCAAATAAATCTAACCATTGAGAACTATGTTTATTACTTCTTTTTTCTTCCTGTTTATCACTTATTTCTTTAATTATTGGTTGTTCTATTGGTTTTTTGTTTTGGTACTGGTAATTATTTTGTTTATTTGTTTTTTGTTTTGAACTTCTGATATTTTGCTGTTTATCCGTACCCGTATCATCCCTTCGTTCTTCTTCTCTATTAGATACTGATTCATGGTGTATTAAGGCCCTTGTCAGTACATTACTATAAGTTTCTTTCTCGTTGTTGTTCACGATTTCAAATTGATTGTCATTATTTTCTTGTGAGATCACCTCTGTTATTTCTTCTCCTTTCTTCGTTTTTAGGATTTGTAAGGCTTTTCTATATGTAACGTTTTCTTCACTCATAATATTCCTGATGGATCTTTCTTTTAGATACATAGGACACTTTTTGTTCAAAACGAAGTGATTCCCCTTGCAGTTTAAACATTTAAAGTTTGTTATGTTACAGTTATCATGAGTTCCTCCACATTTTGGGCATACGACTTTTTTCGTAGGACAAAATTTAATGAGATGGCCAAATTGCCAACAGCCTGAGCATTGTGTCACTGGAAATACATATTTTTCAACCTTAAATCTGCAATCGTAGGCGTAAATATATTCCGGTAGTACATTACTTTTGAAGCACAGTCTAACAGATTCACAATCGACCCATTTTCCTTCTGGTAATAATCGTTTTAATCTTTTCGCCGATAAAACAACAACACTTGATTTAAAAATATCCATCAGTTCTTCTTCACTCAGTTCAAGGTCGATTCCTTTTACTATTCCATATGATACCGACATTTCTTGTGTTAATTGACACCGTAAACCCATTTCTTTGAATTTTTTACATTCAATTAGTTTTAGGGCATCTTCTTTTCGTTGGCATTGAATAAGTACTTTATTAGCACTTTTATATTTTATCCGAAGAATATCTTTAATATTTTCACAACGTAGTAATTTAGCAAATGCTATTGGTTTCGGTAAATTCTCCTTGGCAGTAACACAAACTTCGTGGTTTGCCGGAATTTTGAAAGTGCTATCATTTTCCTTATTTTTTCCTTGGCTATCATTTACTTCCAGTGAATTACTTCTTAATAAACGTTTTGGTTTCCCTCTGACCACAGTAATAAAATCATCTTCACTATTTGTATCTTCTCGTTCTTTTCTCTTCTCTGCACTTCTTACAACTTGTTTATTACCACCTTCGCTTGTTAATATTTGCTCATCCATGTTATTCATCTGATTTAATTGTTCTTCGCATTTATTCAATATTTCTGAATCACTAAGGTCGTCGCCACTAGAATCGGTTTGCATTTTATGATAAGTTTATTGTGGGTGAACTTATAGAGTTAATAAACGATCGTAACGAAAGGCAACAACGCGTGCGCACAGCCGAACGTCACAGCGCGAGTGATCTAATCGTTTTTACCTATTAGTGATTTACTGATGTACTTTATGGTAGATCCAAAATAAGAACAGACATAACACTACGTCTGGGAATCTTCATAATGTTAATCCTCTAGCATAATTATATGTAGTAGCATGATATAGTGCTGTAGACTAGATTGTTTTGTGTTTGCGAATAACTGAAAAATGAATATCGTTTAACCTGACCTGGTTCCCTTAAAAAACATAAAATTGGATTCAACGCCATCACTCGAAGCTCAGATCAAAGCAGCCGTACAGGGTAATAAGCCGAATGAAGTACCTTAGTATTAGATGGAGCGTGAGGCAGGCGGGTCATCGACCAGTTCACAAAAAGTGTACCGATCTGACTGGGCTGTTCACACTCATTGCAGTTAACGGTTCCGAGATATGGGGCCGACGCGAAATTACTGCTTAGATTTGCCGAGCCAATTGTAAGTGTAGTATAATTGTGTTTTACAGGCATTGTATCCAATTAATGCTGGTAATGTGAGCACTAGCTGTTAAGAAGTAGGCCAGCGATGTATCACAGGTACGCAATATGTTCGCTCGACGTGGGTTTGTAATTGTATAGCCCGACAAATTGCTATCACGGCAGGGGATCCTGCTTCACACGTGTGTTCGTGGCACGGCTGTGTGAAGTGGCAGTCACTTTGATTTGACAACGTTATTCCTTTGCCAGCAACACCGAAAGCTCTCGAGTGGTACAAAAAACATTACATAAATCACAGATGACTGTTTGAATAAGTGTAGCAAGTACGATATAAACTCAGGTTTTGATTAATAACCAACAACAAAGTAAAATGATACAAAATATTTCAGTGTTCGAAACAAAACACATTCTACCACTAGAACTAATCACAGAACCGGTCTAGTTGGAAAACTTTTGTCCATTGATGTTCGTAACAATACTCAAAGGACCAGCTGTGTTAAATCTCCAGGACGGAGCATCATTGTATCTAGAACTAAATAACAACTTCGTAAAACAATGGAGCCTTCCATTCCAATAAATATTGTACGTAAACCGATACAAAACATGTGGCCAACATCTGGGGAACATAACGCTGTACTGAAAAGATTTTTGCCAACAATTTATTTGTAAATGTTTGATGTATCAATATTCGATGATCGATCGTCGATAACCGAATATTTCTAGATTATTGGAATGGTTGTATTCCCTTGACACCGATTGTACCAAAACCTGGTGCTACGCTTTCAAAATAAATGTAGCAGGATTATATTAAGGAAAAATCTCCTCGCAAAATTTCTTCGCAATTTCTCGGAGATTATAAGACGAAAAAAATAGACATCACAAAATTTTATTACGATGTTGTAATACATTTTTCTTTCATAAAATGTATATTACGACATAGAATAATTTGGGCAACATTTCTTTTGCTTTACATGTCTTAATTACATTTTATTTGAGATTCTGTGGAATTTACAATAGTACGTTACTACGTATATTATCTTAAAGATATAGGTATAATAATAGGTGTCGCGTTGAATGATTGGCTCTCGTATAGACTCGGTGACTCGGTCACGGATGAGCGGTTACTATGGCTCGGAATTTGGGACATGCGTTGTACCGGAGAACAAGGTCGACTTGTAAATAATGCTTCAAGTTTTAAACTAAGCTGAAAATGAATAATGCGATAACCGTAAACATACTATAAAGAAACAGAAGTCTCGCGTTGAAAGAAACTTTACCAAACACAGATACATACATTATCATGAATGAAAGAAATAATTCAGGCTTTGATAAAGAAATAAAGTCTATTAGCTGGTGACGTTAATAAGCAAATGCCGTATTCATTTGTTTTTTTACGCATTTTTTGTATCTAACGGATTTAAGTGTTTAATGACGTAAACTTACTACGAATTCCGATTTTACTTTCTCAGAGTTATCGATTTGTTTATCCAAATTAGATCCAATCTTAGATACAGCTAAAACTGTATTGATGACTCTACTGCTAATTATAGGAGTTTCTTTTTATACAATCCTTATTTTAAGAACTCCGGGAATATTTAGTTCGGAATACGGATACGCATAACAATAGGCTAAGAATGCTTACATCACTTCTTCGACTATTTTTATTTCACCGAGACATAACGCCGTTTTATTTCCAACCTATAAATTTTGTCCAAGAAAAAAAAGTAATGAATATTAAAAACAATAGAATCTGTTTTTGTGTCTGTCTTTTATTTCCACCTCTAGGTGACATTGACAGCTACTTAAAATGGCGTAGTTTATGTCAAGATAAATTTACAATTTTGGATGTTCCATAAACATAAAAGTTAGCATGTAAAGTATGGGAGGATGAATCATTTGACAAAAATTATGGGCATAAAGGCTGAATCAACATTATGTTTGCATTATTGGCCATTAGTTTATAACAAGATTCTCTGTTATATTGTGGTTTCCTTGCCTTGTTTACCGTCTTGTAGTTCAACAACATAATGATTCACATAACTACTTTGTCTATGCAAATTAATATTGTATAATGCGTTTAATATAGTTGTATAATCTTGTTTGTTGGGTTGCATAACGTAAGGAGGTCGTCACATAATATTATCTGTGGAACCCAATTTTTTATGGACTAAGATCTTAGGAAGATTTCCGCCTATTGTCATTTGGGTTTATTATGAATGTTCTTGGTAACAAAAGAAATGTTAAGTTTTCTAGACATTTTTAGAGATGCCTTGGGTAACTTAGTATTGTGTGGCTGAGTACTTCTTAAGTTTAAATTATTCGTATCCGTTTTACAACGCTCTCTTTTGACAATGTCTTTTATGCTCTCAAATTGACCACATCTACGTAAATAAATACAAGGTTCTTATTTTGTAACTATTGCATAGAAATAATGCAGAGTGCAAAATGCACTGTTTATTTTAAATGAATAAAATTGCACTTATTACAAAATGGCTGACCTTGTCAGCGAAGCAAAAACGTGCTAATTATGTAGATTAGACAATTCAGGCAGCCATGACCTCGATGATTACGTTAATTAATTTGTTTTCTTTAATTTGTAATAAGTTTACATTTGTAATTCATTGCCGATGTCTACTTACTTTTCATGGTCCTTGGTACCATCCTTGGTAGTTTGAAGACAACGAATATTTTTATTTTAATGGTTAGACCAAAAAGAATAACTCTGTAAAGAGGTTTACTACATTCCGCAACGCACTGGTACCTCCAGTGTTTGAGGTCTACTTAGACTATGGTGTCCGCTAACCATCAGACGACCATAAACTTGCTACCAATTATTGTACAAAAAAAACTTAAACACTTCATTCCCTACTTAAGTGGCAAAAACCTACTTGTGAGTATCTTAGCACGAGTTCAGTTAACCGTTTCGCAACGGAACAATTTTAATGAAAACACGACACAACAACTCGAAATCGACATCTATCACGAAAAACAGCATCCGTGCGAAACACGGGGACCGCTAATTGTGATAAAAAACACTTAGACAAAAGACTACCGCAATACAAGTGTCGTAGAAGACGAACGTGACTGTCGAGCATGGGGAGCTGTTTCGATTTTCGGATCGGACAACGTATTATTGGTTTTTTAGCATGAAGACTGGAATGATGCCTTGCATAAAGCAATATTATTGCTCCTAGTTACCACATATTCGAGGAATCTGTTTCAAGTCGTGGACCCACGGGTCCCTTGTTGTCTTCGGTAGCAACATGATGGCTTTTGTTATTCGATGGGGTAAACAGAGACCCATGTGCATATTACACTTTTCGGCAGTTATTAGTCTAATTGATCAAGAAGAATTCTTTCCCGAAACCTAGCTGCTCTTGCGCATTATAAAGAAGAATAAGTAAATAACATAAGAAGAGTCGTAGTTTCGTAAGTGGACACCGACTGCAGTGGACAGTGAGTCAATCGATCACCCACTCGGTGTGTCACCCTCCAGTAACGGCGACCTTGCGGTCACCCTCCACGGCGCACGCGCATCTACAAGTATAACGTGCGCGTGGACACGTTAGCGATGCGCAAATGTTAAGTTTTATAAATGAAATAGTATTATTGTTATTACGTTAAGTGTATTTTAGTTAGAAGTTTATGCTTCTCCTATTTAGGGCAATTTGTAAAGGATTTCTTAATTTATTAGTTAACGAGTTTAAATTATATGTTAAGTACCTACCAGGACCTAAGGTCCTGTTCTACTATTAGCAACTAATGTATGATAATAGAACAAAAATTTATCAAACCGGTTTACCATACTGGGAAACCCATGGCTGTACCTTATTGCCTTTACCATTTATCATCTGCCATTTGAGGAACATCCTTTAACCCATTATAATAATCCTGTCAACACAGCCAACTTGCGCCGAAACTGGAAAGTAACACACTGTATACATAAATACTCGTATCGCCTTGTCTGCGCATACGCATTTGCATAACTTGTACTAATGTAGGTATCGAATGACTCATACTAGGTAGCTCTCACTCTGAAGAAAATTGTTGGCTGGTATGGAATAGCCAGTTTTTACAAGTATTGAAATGCTGAAGGTGGCCTGTGTCTATTTTTGATCTTCAAAATCAGGTAACTAACACTGTGTAGTTTATAACTTTTGTGATATTTACAGTTTTATAAGAAGCTACGACTCTTAGATCTTTTGTCGGTCATTCATAACTACCATAAGTTGTTAATGTCATAGATATTTCATAGAGCCGTAGTTTATCTATTCATATGCACACACAGTACTGCTAAGCTGCAGCGTAAGTCTCAAAAGACCAAAGAAGACGGACGAAGACCAATATGACCAATACAGGCTAACTAAAAAAGGTTTCTGTTAATCAACTGGCAGTCACATTAACATAGCAAATATCACAATAACATAGCGAATAATTATGAAGTCAATTAACTAATTACACTGTAGCATGTTAGTACGTCCCGACTCCCAGCTGCGATAAACTGAGCACTCATGTTAGTGTAGTAAACAATAATTATAAATTAATTAATATACTCGTTAACAGTAACTCATAAGTAAAATCTATGAGGGTCTCATTAGGATCGCATAGAGAAAACTAACTACTTATCTAAATATAGAATCAGTAGTAGTTAAATGAGGTGTTTATTGGTCTTTTGGTGTATTTTTGTCCCTTTCAAGAAACAAATTCACATCGATAGAACATTTTGCTGGTGTCAAGGTTATAGGTGGATTCTACTATCGGTTAGTTATAGTTAGCTAAATATTTATCAGCCCTAGGTTGTATGTATTCCATGATTTTGTATGTAATGCTATATCATAAATAAAATGGCTTTTAGCAAAACTGATAGAAACTACTAAATCAAAAGCCAAAAGCTCTCGTATATCCATCCACGCATTATTTTTTTACCATCACGGGAGACTGCCACGAGGCATTCCGCCAAAAAAGGGATTTACCGCCAATGTTTTATTGCGTAAAAAACTTTCATTTTGGCAGAAAATTTCTTAATACTTTTCCTTGACAAAGACTGTTTCTTACGGATAATAATAATCCCCGCAAAGGCGAGGGATATACGGTTCTTTGGGAAACATTGTTTTTGAAAAAACTTTGTGTTGACAGTTAATTTACGGATAGGAACAACAACTCAAGATTTATTTATAATAGGCTGAAGAAATAAAAATGGTTGTAAGGTTAACTGGATCGGCTATACGCAAAGGATCTCAGCGTAGACATAGTCCCTTTAGAATTTCCCAATCTAGGCACATTTTTTACTATAAAACATTTTTGATTAGATTTAAGAAAACAGTCGAACAAGAAACCAGTTTCCTGAGAGGTGGAAAGTTTGTCTATTCCTCATTACGTAAGTAAACATACGCACTTGAAACCACTTAATTATATAACACAAGTTTGTGATACTTACATATTTAATTGTTATCTAACTTATGTTTGTATCATATATAGAGCGGAAAAATGGCGGCAGAAAGATGTTAATACGATGTGAAAACGTGATCGAAACGATATTAACACAGAGAAAAGTATTTATAGTCGCATTACCCCAGTATTAAGGCCTTATTTCCTAGTTTTTTCTGCAATTAGAGTCGGCAAGCCGTGCTCACGACCTTTCGAACAAACGGGTTCGTGGAACATTTCCTTGTTGAATGCACGAACTTAGGCTTCAGCTATTCAAATGTAAATGTAGTTATGTGTTGATTAACGTGACTGGCTCAGTAGCAGCGGCTTTAACTTGATTATTCCTTCTGTTACGCTTTTCGGGACACGCTTGGGTGGTTCCATACATATTGAGATTACTTTGTTTCGTAGTATTTTTATGCGGCTCTCGTGTATTGTGTTAGCCAAACCAGGCTGAGTACTTCACGAGCAAAATATTGTGCAAAACGCTAGGCTAAAAAACTTAGTTATAAATATTCGTTAGAATACAAGTCTACTCATTCATAACCATTCTTATATCTCAATCCTACATCCTTATTTCTCTTTATCCTACACGGCCCTGCACACACACTACACATGCTAGGACTACGGACAAGGAATAAAAAATTCAATTGAATAATACGCGCCGGCCTTGCGTTAAAAACGTAATCAAACAGTGACAATTTATTGTGAATCAACAACATCCTGTGCGCGACACCCACATGCCAATCAAATCGTTCATATCGGTACTGTTTCCTACGGCTCTCGTGTGAATGGAGTGCGTGAACATGGGAGAGGAAGAGAAAGAAGAGAAATGCCATCACCGCACAATACGGTATTTTACAACTATTCAAATTCAATACTTTTATCGAGACTTCAAAAACGATATTGTTCTATGAATTTTGTACCAAAAACTAACTTATGACGTCATCATATTTTCGAGTCAAAAAAGCACACTTATTTCCGAAAAAAATGCTAGAAATAATCGAAAATTAAGTATATCGTCAAATATATATAAATGAAATTGTAATTATTTTTGAATATTTAATGGGATTGAAAAAACAAAATAATTTACTTTTGACACAAGAAAGTACCCAATTCTTTTGCTAATTTTGAACATACTGTAGGAAATATGTGACACCTTGTTAAGACCTTCTTTGCTCTCAAAGAACCAGAAATCTTATCATCTTCAGATCGTAACAGTTTACTGGTGGACTATGGACGTCCTGTACATAGGACGATTTTCAATAGCTAATCTTCGAGCTTGGTAGATTGATTGAACTGGGTAACATAGTGCGTGCAAACTCAATTGAGAAGAGGCTCAGTACATACTTTATGCTGATGCTGATAGCATGATATTTAGCACAGTCACGCATGAATGAATGCTTTGCGATGTCTTTGAGAGACTGATTTTTCGATGCTGTAATCGTATCTGGTATGTACTTAATGTACTAACGTAATGCTGAACTGATTAGAAAAAAGGATGAGCCCCTATCTATATTTTTTCGTTAATGTCACGTAACAAAACGTGGTCCCGCTCGTTACGATTTTCTCATCTACCTATATTGTGTACCGATCACCCAGCCTATGCGCCAAACGTGCTGTCAAACTGTACAGCAAAATTCCTATTGTGAGTAGTTAAAGGCTGACTGACTGCTGACTCACAAATGACAATTTAAGGAAAAAGTGTACATGTTTATTTCGATTTATTATCTACATTTATAATTTTTATTATAATATATTAATAAATACAAATTATAAAAACATTTATAATTTTGCAATTGGTGATAGTTAATTTATAAGTAAGTATTATGATTGATTTTTTTTATACTTTATAGAACGACGTTTGACCACCATCTTGCCTGATGGTAAGCGATGATGTGGCCGATGATGGAGCACGCCTACCTATGAGCAACCTGTTCACTCGGGACTTGAAGACACCCAAGTCATATTTGACGGGAAACACAGCCTCTGGCAAGGAATTCCATTCCTTAGCGGTTCTCATGAGGAAGCTTGACGCGAAACGCTTCGTGCGAATAGGTGGAATGTCCACCATATAAGGGTGGCGCCCCGCTGTTCGTCTGGTGGTACGGTGGGTAAATAGACTAGGGGGAATTATGATTGATATCGATACCTATCGGTATTGACGTGCATACAAATAAAAATATACATAATTGGGCCCCCTTTCGATTGTGTGATTGTGATGTGTTTGAGATCGAACATAAAAATCGCTTCCTATAAATCTGAAACTTATAAGAAACAATCCACATTTTATTGATTGTAAAAAAAAATTAAATAAATGTTGCCCCACATTAGGATCGTCTCCTGTGTCGTAGTTGCATTTAAAAACATGCAAGTTCTTATAAACATGACACCCAGATACGAAACAATAATTTGTGAATTACAAAATTGCAGCAGCCGGATGCCCAACCACTGCACCAACCCTGCAGTAATTTTCTGAAGTGAAAATCTTCCTGATAATGCAATCAAATTAATGATAGGTAATTTGAACAGGGAAATTAGTATGAGGTTAGCATATGAAGAGTATAACACATTAGTTATTAAACAAATTAACAGATAATAATTATAATATTTGTCGTTGACGATAATTGCTTCATTAAAACATTTAAGTGTCCTAATCTTATCTTTTGAGTAGTTAGTTATTTACAATGTGCTTACTGAGAGTAATGTATCAGTTATTATGTAAGCCTTGTACATAGACAACAGCCATTGAACTTTATAAAAAGAAGTTCTTAATACAAAGACATCATATCTATTATCTTCATTTTTTTTTCATGTAAATATAAAACTATAGTTTACTGGTTAATTTATGTATGTGTGTTGCTAATCAGTAATGCGTGGCATAGTATAAATTGTAACATGAAACTAAAAATTATCAATTTATTTCTTTTAACTACTAGAAATTATAAAACATTGGAAGTAATTTTTTATCAAGTCTTTCTGAATAATCATATTGTATACAGTTCTGCAGCAATATCTTTTTTATTGAGTTCTCTTTACTAATATTATTTTTCACTCAAACAATTCCATCATAAACAATTTAATAGACCTCTGTTACCACTAGATTATACAAACTTTATATCTAAAAACTTAACCAACATTATATTTACAAGTCTAAATACTAAATATAACATTATTATATTGCCACTCATTATAAAATAAGGCTAATAATATAATAAAATAATAATACTCAGTTTGTTTTACATTTATTAATAGTATTGTTTCTAAGAAACTAAGTTATAATAACACCAAATTAATTATCATTAAGTTCATAATCAATTATGTATTTAAGGATTTTAATAATAGTTATTATTGTGTTATTGAAATAATATTGTGTATGTTGCAACTTATTTTCCTGTTATTATTAATAAATAACTAAAGGCATTGAGTTATTGTTTTAAAGTCAATAATACTTATTTTGTTTATTTTCTAATAAGGATAATAGTAAATTCTAGTTTGATGTTGATGAACTGTAGATAATTTTGTTAAACAAGTTCTACTATAGAGTAAAGAGGTTTTAAAAAGTGTAACCTTCTTTTATTAATAAGTTTTTTTATAAGAATTCAGATATGGTATGGTGATTCCAATTAGCATTATCTAGACAAGAAGAGCACACTGAGTATGATAACACATGATATTAATAATTATTTGATAGTTTAAATCAGTTTGAAATGTAATCAACAGTGTAAAAGTGCGAAGCTGTTGGTACAACAACTGCTTCGTATAATCTAGGCGAACAATACTATGTGGCATCACGCCGATAAGCCGGCGAGCCGATTACGAGCGACGCCCCACGAAAACATCGTTATAAACAACATAACACCACAGACACATACCCAAAGATACAATCTCCAACCAATATCAAGGCAATACAAACTTAACATTCGGCGGAATGTGAAACTCATAACTTAACATAAACATAACACTTTTTCAACCTCTACAACAACAATATTACCTGGGAATGCAGTTGGAAGGCGTCCTGTCCACTTCCCAGGCCGCAAAAAGTTTCATGGGAACAGGTTTGGATGCATTAGTCATCTTTTCCGATTTATTTTTCTCGGTCATCTTAAACAGCACCAAACAACGGTTTCACAACACAACACTAGTGTACATTACAATTGGCATTGTTATTTAATCACTAAACACGACACTGTATTCATTTTTATAACACAGTTCATACACGAAGCCGATGCCGACGCAATCACAACAATACTCTGTAAATTTATAGCACGGTCGACTGGTGAATCGCAGCGAGCCGACCGAAGGCGTTCGATACGTTTGACAGCCAGCTGCCCAGTGTTGCCGCGCTGTACCCACACTACCACTCTACTTGATTAGAGTAAAAATGGTACCCAATTTTTTTCTCCAATATTTTTGATTGGATTTAATAGACAATGAAATATCTATGAAGTTGAATAGAATTAATATATGAATTCTATGTGAAACATTCGGAAATAAGAATTATGTATACTACAAATCTCTTCTTGAAAATTGATTCAATGCACAACCCAATTTCAATCCAGTTTATGTGTAAGTCAAAGAACTTTCATCAGAATTCAATATTATGTATTATTATTATATGAAGTAAAAAAAAATTCACTAATTTAATATGATTTAAGAATATTCCATAATACTGGGTAACTTTTCAAAGATTGCAATACCGCAAGTTGTCAAAAGTTTGTAAGAGATGTCACTTTATCAATGCGTTCTGAAATAACAAAAATATTATAATTACAATAAATTTGTAAATAGTTGTTACCATTTTTTGTTTAATTTTAATCCAAACATGCATAGTTCATAACATATTCTAATTATACAATATGTCACACCACGTTACGCAAGGTATACGTAACGTACCACAAATTAACTCTTAGATAGGAATACCACGAATGAGTCCACTCCACCGGGATGATACCAGATTCCTACCACTTCACGGCACGGCCTCACTGAAAACCGGCGTGAAACAACCATTTTTTTTTTGCAATGTATTTAGCCGTGTCCCTATCCCTCATCCTCATCCCTTGAGAGCCGGCTTTGATACTTGTTGATGATAATTGCTTACACTGGTGATCTGTCTGCTATAAAAAAAAAGTAGTAGTAATGTAGTTTGCCACCCTCTCATAAAAATAATATTTTAGGGAAAGTTTTAACACCGATTAAAAGAAATAAAAACATTTTGAACAAAAAATATTTTATTTACTAAAAATATACAAAAACGAAAACAGTAAATTACTAAAATTAGAATAATATCCCAAGTATAATCTAAATTATCATATCTAATTTCATAAATTTTGTTTTTCAATTAAACTTAATGGAAATAATTTTACAATTCATTTAAATTAAAACTGCACAGATTGATCCACATAATAGTAACCTAATACCCAAAACCTTATGAATTGGCTTAAATTATTTATAAGACTAGACTAGAATAAAAAGCTTAAGACTAATTTGGGTAAACAAAAGTAATATAAAGAGTTTTGTATAAAAATGCAAAAATCTCGAAAAAACTAAACAAAAAACTCAAGTTTCCCATAGCATACCATGTCCACAAATTGGTTATTTAGACGCATATTATTGTAATAATTTTGTGAGTACATTATTCCTAATTTAAATACCCTTTTATATATTGCATTTTGGTTTCCTAATATTTCGAATATCATAACTTTTTATGGAACTCAATTTTTTTCTCTATTTTGCCTTCATTACCGATTATTGGCAACATTTATTCCAATTTCAGCATTTCCAAGATGGTTGTCGTTCGAAATTCAAACGTAGCGCTGTAACAGCGAACTTGAAGGTGTATGCGGCCAATTTGTGGACGTGGCACTGTTTCTGGCTCATTTAGCGACTTCTGGCGGGCAGTCCGGCTGTGAGGAGGGATGAGCTGCACGGAACGCTGGGTGGTTCTCCAGTTCACGGTCGATACGGAGAATAATTGGGAAGGGGCGCAGGTCCACATGAAATCTGGAATAAGACCATTAACATTAAATCAAGATGTTTATTATTAAATCAAGATGTTTATTATTTGGGTACCTACAAAACATTTTCTTTCAATTTTCTGCTTGCGGCTTCACTTGTAGTTGTCTTATTAACAATCACTATCTTTTCTTGAAACCTACATCAAAATCTGTCTGTCTGTCTTTCACTTAGAAACTAACACTGAGTTGCCTGTATTGCCTTATAGATAATCCTATCTTTATTTATTTATCTATGACACTATAGGTGGACAGAAGGCTAAAAAAGGTTTTTAGCGGCAATCAAATGTAATCAATGAAAATTTGTTTTTTTTTACCTCCTAGCATTGAAAACTTGAGGCACCAGACAGCAGTCAGCTAGTGTGATCTCGTCCCCAACACAATATTTTCCAGCACATGCAGAGAGTAACTTCTCCACAGCTCTGAAGCCTCGAGTGATCCAGTGCTGGGCCCATTCCTTCTTCTTCTCTTCACCTACATAGATGAGGACTATCAGGTTTTGGAGTGGCTGAATGCCTGATGATATTACCTGTAACGTAAATAGATAAACCTATGAATACTATTGAACATTGAACTAGTAATAATCATAAAATTATTATAAATTAAATTATTAATACATAAGATTCTATTAACGATTAACACAATTTATTAATAATGATCTTTTATTTTATTTTTTTTATTTGACACTTTTTTGTACAAATGTATACAATGGCGGACTTAACCCGTTGAAATCCATCCCCTAAATTTGGACATACAAAAGTAGTCTCTGAACATTACAAATAAGGTCTATAATATAATGTAATATTAGTGGAAAGCGGTCATCGGTGACCGCTTAGGGATTTATGGGTTAATGCCGAATGGCATTCTCTACCAGCCAACCATAGGGTGATGCAGAAAAGTGTTACAGTAGGTTTTAAAAGAAGTTTGCATCTATTGAAAAAAAAATTGAGGGTGATAAATGTACGTATATATAACGGTATCCCAGTACATAAACTACTGACCAATACTACATAGTAATATAAAACATAAATATAATATGTAAATAATTAAATATATCTTTTATGAGTATACACCCACCTCACAGATTTCACGGACTTTAGCCCGTTTGAAGCAGTCTTGAGGCATCAAAGGCCTCTGGTTCGGTCTGGTCTCTTCCAAGTAATGCATAATGTTGAGAGACTCCACGAGTGTGTGTCCATCTGCAAAATTTTAGTAAACAAAATTAGTGCCATATACAATTACCACTGCCGCTGATATCATCAAATGGCTCATTTTGCATATTATGCTCAGTAAATTAAATTAAGTAAAGAAAAATATTATTTAAACAAAACATGAGGACCAATTTTTTTTTACCTATTTTAGTCATAAAAAATAATTTACCAATACAAAGAGATGGGACTTGCTCCATAGGGTTGACCTCACGGTACTCATTGCAGTGCTGTTCTCCTCCACCCTTGATTAAACTGACTGCTTTGATGTCATATGGTATCTCCTTCAAGTTGAGCGCGATGCGCACCCGCCAAGAACATGAGCTTCGCCAGTATGAATATAATACTGGCTGTAAAAGGAAAAAAATACAATTTGTAAATAGGACAAATGAAGAACCAAGGAGGTTTTATGAATTGCTCACTTTGAAAACGTTACAAACAAGCGAATGATAAGGAATATAAATAAAGTTCGGACTTGGACGTTAAGTATCTATAAATAGTTATTGCTTCTAGATACAGTGTGAGTACAAAATGATACTAATAGGTATAAAATTCTCTAAAATTGTTCATTATTACGTTAGAAGTTTAATAATTTTAGGATATCGATTAATAAGCGCACTGTCCTTCCGGATCACAAAATAATTCAAAAGTGTCCATAATCACCTTAGTTTCAACATCATCGCCCATTTTAAAATTAATAAATCACGACTAATAACTTCAACTGAACACTCTCGAATGCTTCCCGATTTAAAATTGTGGTACCTATCTCAGTATTCAACAAGTTAAACCAGATACAAACAACAGGTTTGTTCAACAAGATTGTCTAGTATGCAAATAGAGCAACAAATAAAAAAATTGATAGCGAGAAATAGACTGGCATGTAATACTCGTACCTTAGCCATGGCGGAAATATTCCCGTTGTATTTAGAGTAGTAAGTAATTTTGACGGCGTTTATGTACTGCTTCACAAAATGTAAATTCGTAAAATACGGTTTATTTTCTATAACAAACAAATAAATATTGAGCCCCTTTATCACTGTAATAGCACAGTGTTGCGCATAGAGTTCATTGCTTTCAATCTTTCAATATTTCGTTCGGAAACCTCAAGAATGTATGTTAAAATCCATCATGAATTCATGATATTTTTAATTTTATTACGTAAAATACAATATTTCTTGATTGGTTCACGTTTCATAAATCATTTTGATTTTGGAAACCAAATCTCAGAACATCAAGAAACTTTTTTGACAATGACAATAAATCTTAGCTAGTGTCAAACAAATTTGTCAGTTGCCACTTGCCATTGTCATTTGTTTGTCAATTTTCCGTAATTCCGTCAATTGCATCCTGCACACACGTGTGTTGTGTTTATTTTCACATAAATTACACTTTATTGAATAAATATGGGTAAAAACAATAAAAAGGGGCCAAAGGCGAATGTGTTTAAAGTTGCTGGTGCAAAGAGCTTGAAGAAAACTAAAGCTAAAGCAGTCAACTTAGGCCTAAAGAATGTAAGGTTACCTTTTGATTTTACGAAACTTCTTACGTACAAAAATCAATTATAACATAACAACTTTTTGATTACGATTTTAAAACGTGCTTGTTAAAGTTATGTTTATGAAAGCTAAAAAATGGATGCGTTCAGAGCTAATGTATGATATTTCCGATGACGACAAACTATCTATGCACAATCACATAAATTATTTTTTATTTATATAATTTCAGATTAAACAAAAAGTACAAGACATAGACAAAGAATTCGTAGAAATTAGCAAGAAACCTAAACCTAGTGAGACAAAGCCATCTCCATCGGTAAAAGCTCCTACGAAAAAGTTAGAAAAACCGGTCACGAAAGAAGATGTCGCGAAAACAGCTGAAGAAATTGTGAAAATGGACTTATTATAACATTCCTTACATCTTACAGTTAAGATAAAAATACTGCTATTTATATTAAATTATTTATCTATCAAGTGGATTTTGGACTACATTTAGTATATTTTTCTAACCAACTAAGAAACATATGTCTAGTAATGTGATCCACTTGATAGACAAGTCTTTGAGAATGGCTGTTAGAGTAAGTACAAAATAAGTATTGTAAATATATATTTCTATTTTATTTTATTTCTCTGTGTATTTATTTATTCCTATTTATGTATGGCTATAGATTTATCTGTTATGTAGAAGTAGTAAAGTAGTAACCTTCCTATAAAAATCTGAAGGAGTAATTGTAATTACACACTGGAATACTCGAATGCTACTTAATTTCAAGTCGCTCCTATGTATAGATCTGTCTCTACAACTTCTTTGTAAAATGACAGAGATGGCATGATATTTAAGTACAGGTTAAAGTTGAGTTTTCTGAACTCTATTAACATAAATATACTCCTTTTATTCCCGAAGGGGTAAGGGTGCATATTACGGCACTCATGCCACTACAATGTAACACACACTTTTCACTATTTATGTTATGAGTCTCATGCAATAGGGGATGAGCCTATTGCCATATACCAGGCACATATACAAATTCCGTGCTACTACTGAGATTTGTTTTAAAAACCCAGTAATACTTTGCCCAACCTGGGAATCGAACCCAAGACCTCTTGCCCCGCAGCCGTACTAGCGACCACATGGCCAATGATGCATTCTAATTTCTGAACTCTATGAGTACCAAGTATATAGCTTTTAGCTTTTTTATATATTAGCTTTCAGCTGGAATGCTGGAAGAAACTGCTGGGAGGGAATTAGGCTCAGGGTTTAGTGAAACCATCATGTTAACATGTCTTTTTATTGTTAAAATTTAACAAAATATAACATTATTAAAACACTTAAACTAGTAACATTTAAGTTTTAGTTTAAAAAAATTCACATTGGTTAACGGTGGTAGATTTCCTAAACATACATATACAGAAGGAAGGATGACTTTCATTGTTGCGTAATTTGATTACGCAGAAGAAAGGACGTTGGAGAACTTAACCACCTTCGGGCTAGCACATCATTCATGTCTAATCTATAACAAAATGCACATGAATCATGTTTAGCATTACAATACAGATATAACAGAAAATTCTTAACTATAAAAATATTTCTTTAGTTCCTATTGCTGTTTATTCTTCATCGGTTAGGTCAGGTTCTGCTTTCTCATCCTCGCTGACGTCTCCGGCCTGCTCTGCTTCGGGCTCGGCGGGTGTTTCAGAGATGATTTCAGGAGATTCTGGCTCTTCTACAATAGGTTCAGGTTCATCTGCGGCAGGTTCACTGGAAAAAAAATAATATTTTTATCTTATCTTCTTAGAAAGTAAGAGTTTGTAGTTGAATCAAATCTTAAACCAAGTATTCTGTGATGTGTAAAAGCAGAACATAACAAAAATATTTGTGAAATATTTATCGTCACAACGGCTGAATGACTGGACTATTACGTTCCCCAGGAATCAATCAACTAGTTCTTGTTCAAGTTATTTAGATATCATATTTACGATCTATGTTTATTGTGTGCCAGATTAATTTGGTTTGGTAATCCTCACCTGGCGTCAGCCTCAGGAACATCAGCAGCAGAACCACTCTGTGAGAGCTCCTCCAGGCGGGCGGCCGCAAGTTCAGACTCTTGTCTCGCAATCTCGGCTAATTCAGCTGCCTGCATTGACAAATATCCAAGATGTTAGAATTTTTCATCGAATAACTTTTGTTCAAGAAATAAGCGTGGTAAAAGTTACCTGTCGTGCAAGTTCGGCTTCGCGTTCTTCCTGTGCCTGTTTCTCCAATTCCTCTAACCGAGCGAGTTCTTCTTGTCTTCTCTGTTCCGCCTGCCTTTCCTCCTCAAGCCTGGCCTCTTCAGCTAACCTCGCTTCTTCAGCCAAGCGAGCTTCTTCTGCGAGTCTCGCCTCTTCAGCTAGGCGTGCTTCTTCTGCAAGACGGGCTTCTTCTGCTTTCTTCGCTTCTTCGGCTAATCTAGCCTCTTCTGCCTTGCGGGCTTCCTCAGCGAGCCTGGCCTCTTCAGCTAAACGAGCTTCTTCGGCTAGGCGAGCTTCTTCAGCCAGACGGGCTTCTTCCTCGGCTTTTCTAGCATCTTCTTCGGCCTTGCGTTTTGCTTCTTCGGCCTTACGGGCTTCTTCTTCTGCCTTCCTCTTTTCTGCTGCTTCGCGTTCAGCCTGAAATACGTGAAATATTCCATTGACATTTTTTATCCAAATAAAGTAATTATTAAAACTTGATCATTCTAAGAAATTCTACTTACTTGAGCTTTACGTTCAGCCTCACGTTTAGCTTCTTCCTTCAATGCCCTATAAAAATGCAAAATTATTAATTAAATTGTCCTGAATATAAATTGGTTGGCTACGTGCGACAAATCTGAAAGAAAGAACATACTTCTCTTCAGCGGCGCGAGCTTCCTCTTGCCTCTTCCTCTTAATTTCTGCCAAGTCAGTAGCTGGTGTCATGACTGGCTCAACGGTGGACGCACGGAAACGAGCTTCACGTTCCGCTTTAGCTGCTTTCAGTTCTAGGGCTGGATCCTCCATCATTTGTGGGACCTGGAACTTGCGGCTCGGCCTCCACGGGAGCAGCTTGACTGCACCGAGGCCAATGTTACGCGCATGCCGTAAGACAACGACCATTGGTGAAACAATTAGCGCTCAGAGAGACAACTGCTAATCATTCCACAGCATGATGATGACTGTCAATGGACATTGTTACGAGTACGATGACGAACAGTAAGCGACGCAGTACAACGCTCATGATCATGATGCTGTCTAATCGAAGCTGTTAGACCCCAGCACCAAGCCCAATGACAAACCCTGTATGGCATGGTAGTCGCTATGACATCGTATTCTGTTTCAGCGCTGCTTCATGCTGTAATGCAATGATAGTGCAGTTGTCCAGTGTAAGGTCTCATTATGTCGATCCCATTTCGTTCTCAAACTTTATGAAATTCAGTATAATTCCCATGAGACTATGATGTTCCATAATGGTGAGAAGATATGTAAGGTGTAGGTAAATGTACGTGTGTTTAACTTTAATTGTATATATATCTTATGGGGATATAATTATTTAATATTATTCTTTTACTATATTTATTTACGTGTGTTATACGAACAGTTAAAACATTTTAGTCAGAAAGCTTAGCATTACTAAAGCTTGGAGTCAAGCGTGATATAAGGAACAATGAACATGCACATGATTAAAACAACTACATTTTCAGTAAAAATTCTTTATTGTTAAGTAAAATCAGTCGAGTTAAGTGAAAACGAGACATCTCGGTCACCGACAAAATTTCGGCGCACAACACCGCGCTATCACAACGATGACTAGCAAAATAAATCAAATCGTTCGTCGCAACTCGTAAACATCAGTAACAAAAATATGTAATCTGTAAAATATGAAATAAAAAAATAGATGATCTTGGTTAGTTCTAGCGTGTTATACCGAGATCAGAGAGCGCGAAGGGCGTACGCGGCGCGAGCGCGGGGCTGCTGTACGAGACAGCGCAGCCCCGGCGCCCGCGCCGCGCCGCAGGGAGCTACGCGCACTGCGCCGCCGTCGGCTGTTCCGGCGCGCCGCCCGCTGCAAGAGACACGCAGGGTTAGACACGGACTTTATTCCTCGTTTTAATAATCGTTTAGTGCCCCGAGCCTCTCGAGGCTTAGCTTTTCACTTTTAGACCGGTTTAAAGACTCATTTTAAAGAATTAAGCGAGGGATTTAAGCGAGCGCTAGCGTTGCGACGGTGGCGAGGTACCTGTGGCACTCTCGACGGCCAGACCGGCGGCCGCGAGCCTGTTCTTGGCATAGAAAGAAAGGAGGTTCACGTCGTCCCTGATGCTAAGCTCCTTGTAGAGTGGCCTACGGTTGGAGAAGGCCTTGTTACCGGTGTAGTGCACGCATGCGAGGTGACCGCGTCC